TGATTCTGAAAATGTCATCAGGAACAGTCATAAATATAATCTCTTCCTCTTTGCAAATGACCTCTTACCCAGCTTAATTAATAGCTTAACTTTGGGCAAGTGGTAACACATAGCAATTAAATCTGGTTTACTGTTGTGTCTCTTGTGGGGGAAATTTGGTAACACTTTGTGTAGCTGTCCTCAGTCCTTGCTTAGGGTGTGTTCCATAACCTGGAGCCTCCCATTCATCTCACTTCCTGTCAGGACACTAGCTCCTCATAACAAACCATCTCGAGGAGATGGATTGTCTGCCTTTGCTTCTAGTTAACAAAAAAATCGTTTAGATGGTCTCTAGTGTATTTTTTTCCCTTAGCTACCTTTCCCTTCTATTGTTATGGCTAACCAAAAATAACACAAGTTTCTAAATATTCTACAAATAATTTTTTCCTCTTTTCTGTTTCTGCGCCACTAAACTAACCCTGGTCCATGAGCACTGAGGCAACTGCATTTCTCTTCACTCTTAAAACTTTGTTTTCAGCACAAACCAAATCTACCAGATATACTGGAAGTGACTTGATTTAATACAAATAAAAGTTTCAGATCATCCAAATTGGTTTTTTTCTTAACTTATTTATTTGATGGTCTGAACCATTTAAATCCAATGTACTTGGTCTAAACAAGGGAAATGCCTTCTAGAAGCAGGCTGTATGATATTCTGGACCCCCTAGAAACTATTTTCCTTATTTTTAAAAAATTACTTTGAAACTTAGCTATTTCCTGGTCCCTCTGGACATGCTGTTCCTTTTTTTGGCAATGGCCTCCACCTCCTGCCACTGTAGCAGGGAAGTGCTTTCCTGAGGCCCCTTCCCAAAGCAGCCTTCTTATGCCTTCCTGCACTTGGCCCCCACAGAGATTGTGACACTTCCTTAGCATTTCTTTCTAGCATCCCTTGTGGATGTGCTCACTCACTGTATGCAGCCTTTCAATTTCAATGGTTGGGTGAAGGACCAGTAACTACCTGAGCCACTTTTCGAACTAGGTCACAGATATGTGGCCAGGTAGGGAAAGTCATCCTGAACGAAACACAGGTCTATACCTGGTCTTGTTCAAATGGAAATACTATTGAACCAGAGACTCTGACTGGACTGCTTTTGTCCCCCTTCTACTTTATGTCTCTTCTTTTCCTACACTCAAGTGTGTAGAGAAATGTTCATTCTGATGAACTTGCCCAAGTGAGTGAATTACCATTTCCTAAGTGGTCAACAAGAGAACATAGACCTTGAATCTGGCCATCTCTAGCATGAATTGCCATTATTTCTCCTAATGCTCCAGCCGCTCCAGTTTCTCCTGGCCCTTCAGATCCAGTTGCCGTTGTTCCCTTTGGCTCTTCAGTTCCAGCTGCTGGCCCTTCCTCAGGTATTGGTGCACTGGCTCTTGCTCACTTCCCGGCCTTCCAACTCAGACATGCTGGGGGAAATTGACCACTGCTGCCGGATCTGGGTCTGGCTCTTCTTCTGATTGTTCTCAGAAATTACCTCCACAAGGGGCTTAGTCTTCCAGCTTGGGGTCTTCTCTTTGGCTTTTGGTCTCTTACTCTGCAAATCTAATTCTGCCATCTTAGCTTCTTTAATGAGTTTTCTAATTTTTTATGTTCTTAATTTAATTAATTTTGAGCATTTGTGAATTGCTTGGTAGTATACCAGTGACTGACATTTTTTTTTCCTCTTTGGCAGTCTTACTAATTCATTATATGTATTCTAATTGTTTTAAACTCGTGGGCCATAAAAAACCAAGTACATATTATGCCAGCCCTCTGTGATCATGTAATAATGGAAGGAGAGGGACTTCAGAGAGCATCTAGTTCAACTGCCTGATATTCAGGAAATCTGGGCCACGTAGGGTAAAATGACTTGCTCAAGTCACGTAGTTTCTTGGTAGCAAAGCCAGAAGACATAGAACTTGGGTCTCCTGATTTCACACCCAGTGTTTTGACTCTTTCTGGTGAGAGGTTAACTCTGTGGATTCCACTGTGGATACTTGCAAGCTTTCAAATGAGGAGTCAAGTGCCCAGGTGACTAAATGGTCCTTGTCAAGGAGCAACTGAGTCACAGCAACTGCTACTCAGGGAATTACCTGATCATCAGTTTGTTTTTGTTTTTGTTTTTAAATAAATGATTTAAAAAAAACAAGTATCCTAAAGAATGTGCCCTAGAAAAGATGTTCTCAAATTCTAGTATAATACTGAAAAACCTGGGATGCCTATAGCAAAAGTACAAAGACTCAGGCCTTCCTTGCGTAGACCTGCAACCAGAATCCTGCAAGTTGGGGCCTGAGATGTGTGATTTCAAAGTTTTCCAGGTGGTTCTGGTGTGCTTTCTGAGTAAGAACAACTGCTATGGAGTCTAGCAGTGTTTCTTAAAAGTGGTGTATTTCTGGGCCCCCTCCCCATACCTATTATCCTAGAATTTCTGGGGACGGGGGTCATCTTTAAACTCCCTAGTGATCGTTATGTCCATTAAAATATAGAAGAATGCTCATCTAGAAGGCTTTGAATCATTCAACAAAAGGCCTAGAGCAATGACTTTCATGTCTCTTGTTTGCTTCCCTTGGTAAGAAATATGTTTTGCATCATGATTCAGCAAACCCACAGAACTAAAACAAAAGTTTCACAAGTCAATACTTATCTTAGCAAGTTCAGTGAGCTCGGATGTTTTCCGTTCTCGTCCATCCTATTTCCGTTTTTGAAAGTAGGTCATCAAAAAACTCACGAAATTTCTTTTAAACCCCTAACCCAGTGGAGTTTTAAAAACTAAGGGTCGAGATGTGCTTGTTAATTCTATCACAGATTTAATACTTTTCTTTCTCAAACTGCTCTAATTTTCCCAGTTACTCCTGTTAAGCCTTTAATACCTGCTGCCCCATGAGGAAAATCCACTTTTGTCACAGTCATACAATACTTCCACTGTGTAGAAAGTGGACTGCCCTTGTTCCCTGGACATGGGACAGCTTGCCAACTCCACGATGCTGTTGCTAATGGCTTGTATCAATCACAGTGCAAGTAACAGACAACTCAGCCACACTAAAAGGAAAATTTGTTTAAAGGAATGACTTTGCTCATGGAACCAGCAACCCAAAAGGAGCTTAGTTCAGGTGCTGATTTATTCCAGACTCAGACAGTCACCTCGATCCCCACAGATCTGTCTTTCCTGGGATGGCTCTGAATATGGCCAATTAAGTTCTTTCTTCATGAGGGTAGCAGGCCCCAGGCACACACTGCCATACTGAGCACAGATCTCAGCTGGGCTGATTAGACTGCATGCCCTCTCTTGAACCTACCACTGGGGTCAGGACAGGATACTGGTGCTGGAGATGGGGTCAAATCTCAGGGAAACCACGTGGTTAAGGATGAGAGAAGGATGATTGCCTAAAGAGAATTGGAGATACTGCTCTCAGAAGCAAGATGGATACTGGGCAGCAAATACAGGTGTCATCTATAGGCCGTGCATGTCCATGGTCTTCCTCTTTGCCTCCCATTTCCTCGGTTGTGACGACCCTTTTCTTGCTGCTTTTCACATCTGTGGAAATCTATACAGTGTCCTGAAGTTCCTGATTTAAATCTCATACGCGGTAGCCACTGTCAAAATCAAGCACAGACAGTGCTAAACTTAAATGACAGTTTAAGTAATTAGAAATAATTGATTAAAATTCATCACCTGAATTTTCCTGGTTTTTAAATGAAGAGAAAGAAGTAGTATAGGTACGGATGACCCAAACTAGACAATAACTTGGTATTCTCAGGTGTAGTGGACCAGCCTGTATAATGTTCCCTGATGTCCTTTAAATAGACTACGGGCCAGAGTCTTTTCAGGAGTAATCTGAGCACAGTGACTGCCTAAAAATACCTAGTGAACAGTAGTAACACATTAAAAGTTAAGTACAAAACTTAAATCTGGCAAAGAAAGCTCAGCTGATCCTATTGGCTAACTTTCGCAATTGCTTTATGTACCATTTAAATCTTTTTTTTTTTTTTGGTAATGCTCGAGGATATTTTTTTCCATTTATCTTCATTCATAATGGGAGGGAGGGAGGAAGAGAGAGAGAGAAACATCCATGTGCGAGAGACATATCAACTGGTTGCCTCCCACACGACCTCCCACACGACCCCAACCAGGGCCAGGGATGAACTGCAACCAAGGTACATGCCCTTGGCTGGAATCGAACCCAGGACTCTTTGGTCCATAGGCCAATGCTCTAACTGCTGAGCCAAACTGGCCAGGCCCTTTATGTACCATTTAAATGCTCTCTCTTTCTCAAGCCTTTTGTCATGAAGCAGAGCAGAAATACTTTCTACTAAGGGATCAGAAAATGGACAATAGTTATTTAGTTAAAAATAGTGTTGATCTGTTAAAATGGAGATTTTTTTTTTTACAATCTAGCATGGAAAAATAATGAAAAAATATTTTAACAATTCTGGGTTCTTGTCTATTTTGAAATAATTTAATGAAAATAGGCACTTCATGCATGAGAGAATGAATCTTGTTCCTTCAATAATCGTATCAGATTCTCTACTTTGTAACAAATTGCTCCCAAGTTTTCAAACGTAATATGCTTTATACACTCAGTATGGTGATTCTGGGCTGTGCATTCTGTCTTGGCAACTAGCCTGCCTAATATTTAGATTTTCTCTGCATTCTTGTATGCTTAGAAAATCCATATCCAAAACATTTTTTGTGTGTTTTTTTTCTATAAAATGAATACAAAATAAGCACCCTAAGGTTTGTATTGTTCTCCTAACTTGGTCTGTGATTTTGTATAAAAGCTTTACATTCTCCCTCATAAATTTATTCTCCTCTAACAATATGCCCATTCATTTCTAATGTTCTAATTTCTGTCTTTTGAAAGCTATAGCATTTTAATTGCTTATGGAAACTAATCAGTCTCTTATCCTTGACAGTGATTTCATTAAGATCTGATTTGTTTTTAATTGTTTTTAATATATATTATTATATTTTGGTCTATAGTGTGGCTTGATCTAAGAACCCAGTCTACTGTTGAGAATCTTAGTAAAAGAATTCCAGGAAATAATAACTTTGTCAAGGTAAGAGATCTCTTCAAAAGTATGCTATAAGAATGCTCGTTTTAAAATGTAGATATATCATCAGAAAGACATATCTTATTGCACAATAATTATTTGATACAATTTATAGAATACTTATCTGCAGATAATTGAGGACAACTCAGATTTTTTTCCGTCTTCCTTGCCCTGTAGTTGTTTAGAAGAATAATATTCCAAGGTTGGTTGCCTGGAGGGGATTATAAAATATCCCTGTGGTTTAAGCCATATTCTCCAGGGGTTGCTTCCTGTAATTGAACCCTGACTTTCAAATCCATCCTCCTGTTTTCTACTATCCATCAGAGAAAGTTCTGGGTGCTTTTGAGTGTTTAGGCATCTGGATTCAGGGAGAGAAAGTAGGAGACATTTTATTGACCTCTTTTTTAAAATTGATTTTAGAACGAGGAAGGGAGAGAGAAATATCATTGAGAGAAACATTGAGTGCCTCCAATACACACCCCAACCAGGAATCGAACCCACCACCTTTTAGTGTACTGGACACAGCTCCAACCAACTGAGCCGCACAGGCCAGGGCCATTTTATTGACCTCTTTATTGAACATTTCCACTCTCTTCATATGAATACGGCTAATAAAAAAAATTGCCTAGTTTTCTGTCTCTTCAGGTAAATGCAGGGAGAGAGAATTTTTGAATCAAGCAAGATATTTTTTTTTTAACAAGGTCAAGACCAAATTCTCCTACTATCCAAAAGGAAATTCTGTTTTTTTATTTTTTTATCCCCTTTATATTTTTTTAGTGGGACTCTTAGGATAATTTCTTGTGGTTCTTGGTTTTGAAATTGGTGTCCAAATGCTATTAATTACAGGATACATGGAACAGACTGACAGCTGTCAGGGGATGGGGAGGAGGGGCTAGATAAAAGAAGGTGTAGGGATTAGCTAAAGAACATATATGCATAACCCATAGACACAGATAACAGTGTGGTGGTGGCCAGAGGGAAGGGGGTGGTGAAGGATGGGTAGAGGTGGGCAAAGGGGGAGGAAATGGGGACATCTGTAATAAAAATGAAGCTAAAAATCCTATTAACTACAGCAATTTAACAAACCATTTCCTGCCCCCACCTGCCCAAATAACTTAACACTAGCTTTGAATATACCCTTATCATCTATTCTGTTCCCTTTCTCACCCTGTCCAATCTTCACCCCTACCTCCACTGCACTTTGTTTCATGGGATGCATGTTTTTCTCTTCAGTGCCATTTTAGGGGCCTTCTACACTTGCTACCTAAGTCGTAAAAATGAGATAATGCATACTACCTCATTATTAGTTTTCTGGGAGCATATTTCCATAAATTATTTCTTTTCATTATGTTTGATCATTGATCTATATTTTTTTCTAGGGAAGCTGGAAAACCATAAGTTAAGATTCTTACAGGTTGCATTAAAGTACTAAATCCTTTGGTTGAGTTGTCTTACCAAACATATCCATAGGAGATAAGGAAAAAATTATCACTTTTTAGTTAGATGATAAATGAGGAGAGTAGGATGGGGAGGGAAAGATAATTGCATTGTTTTGATGTGTATATTTTCTTAACCACTTTCATCAGCCCTAATAAAATAAAATTGCAAACAATAATAAGAGTTGGACCTGATCCCTTCTCAAGGAAGATTAATAAGCCATATGTGTTTTATTATTACACTTTAACCTTTATTTCAATTCACCCTCTCTTTGTTTGATTTATTTACTAATTTAAACAACTACTTTCTTACATAGAGTGACTCTGTTTTGCTTTAATCTGGTGTATTTTTTAGCTCTACTTTATTCTCCACTAATTTTATATTATATTATTTGAATATGAACGTATAAGTATATATTTATAATATACTTATTTTGATACACATAAATATAATGTTAAGTCTTATGTTTTAAAACAAAGTTTTCTAGTTTTGGTCATTAGTTTATAATTTGATATACTCTCTTATTGTCAATATAAATATCACTTTATGGAATATAAAATAAAAAGCAGAGCTTTGGACTAGGTTAGTACTAACTCATCACAAAAGTCTAGATTACAGGGCATTGCATCATTTAATTTTCCCTTTTCCTTGCTACGTGGATGCTCTTTGAACTGCCAACATATCACTGATCTTTGTTCATAAGCATGCTTTCCTGTACCATGAGATAGGTAAAGTATTTTTATCCATAACACTGTACATGGGATTGCTTTTAGAGCCCCTGAATATTTTGTGATTTGTGGAGTTTTGGGGTGGGTTTGGTATTTTGTTTTCTTTTAAAATGTTATGAATTTAATTTGCAATTGTTTTTAGTCCAAGACAGGCCTTCCACTTAGCACTTACTTCAGTGCTGTGAAAGTTCGTTGGCTTCTGGATAATGTGAGAAACGTTCAAAAGGCTGTTGAAGAAGATAGAGCTCTTTTTGGGACTATTGATTCGTGGCTTATTTGGGTATGTTTAAATAGAATTCATGTTTGGAGAAATTTTTTAGACAGCCATGCCTACTATCTATTGTCTACTAAGAGTTTAAAATTTTTATTTGGCAGCATTATTTAGAAAAGTCACTCAAGAAATAGCAGAACAGCCCTGGCTAGTTTTGCTCAGTGGTTAGAGTGTTGGCCCGCAGACCAAAGAGTCTCAGGTTCAATTCCAGTCAAGGGCATGTACCTCGGTTGCTATTCGTCCCTGGCCCTGGTTGGGGTCATGCAGGAGGCATACAGTCAATGTGTATCTCTCACATTGGTATGTTTCACTCCCCCTCCCCTCTATCTGAAGTTAAATGGAAAAATATCCTTGGGTGAGAATTTAAAAATAAAGAAATAGCAGAACATTTCACACTCCATTTGAGAAGCATCTTTACCTATTTCCTCTTTATTTTTTCTTGTCTTAGTTCATTAAAAATGGAGGATGATTACCAAAACCATATCTCATCTGTTATCTTTAGAATAAGAAATTTAGGTGATTAGTAATTGACAACTTAGGTAGCCTTTCTCTCTTGCCTAATATGAAGTTTCCCACTAGCCGTTTTTTAGAAGAAATAACTATTTAACATGATAAAACACCTAGGCTACTTTTATTATTTGCTTTCAACATTACATAGCTGTCTGTATCTTATTTAATTAAACCGTAATGTGAAAAATCATAGTGGAAACTTCTGTTATATAATCTTTTTGCCTAAGCTGAACATGGATAAGTAGAAGCTAACATTTCAAACATTTCCCAGATATATCTTTAAAGTACGTAATTTCTCTCTCTTTTTATTATAAGTATTTTCAAATATACCCCAAAGCAGAGGGAATAGTGTAACAAACCTGTACAGCAGTGAGCCAGCTATGTTAATCAACTATCGCCAATCTTGTTTCAATTAGACTCACATATACTTTCTTCCTACAGATTAATGAAATTCCAGACATATAATTTCATTTATAAATACTTCGGCATTTTTTTCACATTCAGAGAGCTTCAAGGGTATAACATCCCTATTTTTACTAGTCAGATCCACACAGTGGTCTTGAAACCGCTATCTGGAAGCCCACCTTACATACACACACACACACCCACACACACACACACCCGTGTTAGCTAGCTGTGCTTTGTGCTCATGGCCAACAGTTTTCACACATGTCAGTCACAGTTGAAATAGTTTTGACTATTTGACAATTGCCTGGAACCAGAGTAACGCACGAACGTGGGAACTGTGAGCTGCAGGGGACTCAAGGGAGCACATTGGGCTATATCCCCCACCGTGATGTCTTTCTCCACTTTTCTTTCTTTCTTACCTCATTGCTTTCACATAAAAGAAAGCAGCACTAACAACAACAACAACAACAACAATAATAAATATTTAAAATAATTTTTAAAAATTAAAAAGGAAAGCATCACGGCTTTCCATTCTGGTACAAGGGTATTAAACATCAGAGAGTCTAAAACTCTGCTTTCAAGATAATGTGCTTGGGTCAGTGCAGACCCAGCCCAATGAGAAGTATTCCAAACAGCCCTGGCCAGTTTGGCTCAGCGGTTAGAGGGTTGGCCCACAGACCGGAGAGTCCCGGGTTCGATGCCCGCTCAGGGCATGTACCTTGGCTGCAGTTTGCCCCTGGCCCCGGTTGGGATCGTTTGGGTGGCAGCCACTCCATGTGTCTCTCTCACATCGATATTTCTCTCTCTATCTATCTCCATTCCACTCTATCTGAAGATAAATGCAAAAATGTCCTTGGGTGAGGATTAGAGAGAGAGAGAGGGAGAGAGAGAATTATTCTAAACAAACCAAAAAGAACAGCAGCAACACAGGGTTTAGCAAGATCCTGAAGAGGCAGATATCTCAATGCATTTCACTTTGCCAGATATAGTAAAACTCTGCATTTTCCAAAGATAAGAGAATGAAAACAAAACTGGTTTTTTGTTTAACTCACAATGAACTAGAACTATGCTAATATGGCAGCCACTTTGCCTTGAAATGTGGCCGGTCTGAAGTGAGACGTGCTGTGAGCATAAAATACACACTGAATCTCAAAAAGTTAGTAGTCAAAAGGGGGGTAAAATGTCTCAGCAATATTTTTTTAATTTTTATTGATTTTTTTTTAGAGAGGAAGGGAGAGAGAGAGAGAAACATAAATATCAGAGAGAAACATCAATCAGCTGCCTCCTGCATGCCCCCTACTGGGTTTTGAGCCTGTAACCTGGTCATGTGCCCTGACTGGGAATCGAACCGGGACCTCTCAGTCCATGGGACGATGTTCAATCCACTGAGCCACACCAGCCAGGCTAATTTTTTATGTTGAAAGGACATTTGGATATATTGAGTTAAATAAAATAAATAGTATTATTAAAATCAATTTCACCTGCTTCTGTATGCTTTTTAAATGTAACTACTAGAAGATTTCAAATTACAAATGTAGCTTACATTATATTTGTATTGGACACTGTTGAAAACTAGAAAATTAAGTAATTAAAATGTGCTGTTCTGTTTTACATGCTCTGCTGCTGATTATGGCCCTTGACAAAATGTAGATTCAATTGGAAATAAGTACAGATTTAACATGTCCTTTTTATTCTGTCTAGTGCTTGACAGGAGGAACCAATGGAGGCGTCCACTGTACGGATGTAACAAATGCAAGCAGGACGATGCTTTTCAATATTCATTCTTTGGAATGGGATAAAGAGCTCTGCGAGTGAGTTGTGTTTTCTCCCAAGAATAGCTTTCCAAATATGTTACCTATTTATAACCTAAATCTTATTCTTTTCAGACATTAGTGGAGCACTAAACTTTAAATGTTGGTATTTCAGCTACGATATAAAAGTCTATGTTGTGTGATCTTTTAAGAGAGATTATTGTTGCATATACAATAAACATGCCAAATTAAGGAATTGCCTTGATTATTCTCCAAGGAAGGTTAAATTCCTTTAGAAAAGTACTTTGGTTTCTGTGTGCTTTTTTAATTTTTTATTGATTGGCTTGGATAAAATTAGAATCTTAAATATATAGTCATACAACTATGTTCTGCTTGTTTATTTTTGTTACTATTTAATTTTATACTCAAATACATCCATTCACTAATTGTTATTTACATTTTTTGCCTTTAAATGCATGTAAAATTTTTCAGATATTTACTTCAGTGTTAAATACCCAATCTTATCTTTTTTTTTTTTTTTCAGATTTTTTGAAATTCCAATGAAAATTCTTCCAAATGTCCGGAGTTCTTCTGAGATCTATGGCTTAATGGTAAATACAAATTTTCATTTAAAAAACTTCACTAATCAGAGTTTGAAATTGTTACTTTGATAGTTTAAGACTTGTGACTTCTCTGTGAATGTTGCTAATATGTAAAATAAGATGTTAATATTTAAATAGTTTTATAACTTAAAAATTATAGAGTTTTTACCAATTCATTTTGTATTTTATAAACTTGAATTGGCTTTCCCTTCAGTATTATACTTTTGAAGTATTACTGAGATAATCTAACTACAGAGGGTGACATGGGAATGTTTGAGCTATTTTGTTCTTTGAATCCAAATACCTGTTTAGTAGTTGTGTCTGTTTTTAATTTATAGAAAGTCTCTTCACATTTTAGTTGTGTTCTTTTTTCTGTTGAATCCCTTCTTTTTTAATTTAATTTTTTAATTTAAATATAGTTGGTATACAATCTCTTTTAATGGCCAAACCATGTTTTAAATTGCATTCTTTATCAACCTGAAGAAAACTTTAGCAAAGAAACTGAAAGCAAAGTGTCTGTTTCTGATATGTGATTGCTAATTACATTGGGTTCCATAATGGACATTTTTACTGTTGCTTTCATTGAAACTCAGAAAAGGTAGTTTCGGCAAAAAAAAATCTGCTTAACATCATTGAGTATCTCTGATTATACGTCAGGGATGGAAAGCTCTAGGATGATTTGAACTGATGTTTGAACACAAAAAGCTGGAATTTATGATAAAACTTAAGAATACATCTAAGAAAAATTGCAGAAAATATTTAGATATTTCATGATGAATATTAGAAAATCTATTTATAGTGTTAATTTTAATTAACTTGAACACTTACGTGCTCTGGATAAAACTTGAGCAAGAATTCTTAAATGTTTCATTCATAATAAAGCCTTTAAGGCAACATGGAGTTTTTTAAAGAGTAGTCACTTCTTATCTACAGTGCAAATACTTCGATGATTTTATAGCTGTCTACAAACTTACTTGAGTCAGAGAAAAAAAACTATTCTTGAGAAACCATTTCAGAGGATGGTTGAAAAGAACATTGAACTGGCCTAGTTTTCTCTTGCATTTAAAATATTATGCTTCTGTCCCCCTTTTTCCCCTTGCTGACTATAGAAAATCTCTCATAGCCTGGTGAGTAGGTTGCCCACCAATTATTCTACCCATTCATTTGGAAAAGATACAGTGCATTTCCATTTAGTTTTAAACAAGCATTAAGTCCATTTGTCAAATAGATTTATCTAAAACCATGACTCTTCAAATTATTATAAGCTCTAGTCAAGCTTTAGGTTTTTTTTTTATTTTTATTTAGTCTTATTTGTTCTTAAGCTTTCCATAAGACTGAGAGTGATGTTTCAAAATAAAAGACGATACGGTAGTTTCCTGGCATGAGAAATTCTGATGTCCCCATTACAAAGTACAGTTTGATGTGCTTTGGAAATTAGATGTGATTTTGAAATGTCCTAAACATATACCCTGACCAGCCTTTCAGACCAATTAGTTGGAAATGCACTGTCACTTTTTCTGCATGCTTCACCAGAGGATGTTCCCAGGGATCCTCCAGAGCTCCCTCCCTGTGAAGAAAAAGGAACTCTTTCCCTGCCTGACCTCACGTAATAGATCCTGCTGGTAGTTTGATCATTATGTCAGTAGTATAAACAAAGACTTCTTTTAGTGTTTAAATATATTAGGAAATACAGCCTCTAGGTTTCCTACTGGTTCACTTTCAGCCCTTTATTAAATTTACCCTTCACTTAATATCCAGGTTCAGGTTCCCTAAGAATAAAGATAGTAAATAAAAATAGCAGGTCTTGAATTAACAAGAAAGCGTGAAAGAAAGAAAATAATATCTGCTCTCTGAGGGTGTTTTCTATTCTGTAAAGGGCTTCCACATATATGCTGTTGTTTCCTTATCATCAGAACCATGTGAGATGGCTTCTATTCTTACCCTCACTCCAGCAGATAGGGGGCCCAAAGCTCCCGGAGGCCAGAGACTGGCCCACAAATAACAGAGTGAGAGGTGGGTCCAAAGCTTTTGTTTGGTGCACTTCCTAGTACATCACATATATCTCGGGGATCACATCCTTTCCCTTAATTCCTTAATATTAGCACAAATTGCTTTGTGTTAGTGTATTTTTTATATATCTTTATTGTTGAAAGTGTTGCAGATGTTTCTTCTTTTCTTCCCCCATTGACATCCCCCCTTCCCTAGTGTATTTTTTTTATTGATTTTATTTATTTCTTTATTGGTTTTAGAGAGAGAGGAAGAGAGAGGGCGACAGAGATAGAACCATCAATGAGAGAGAACATCAATCGGCTGCCTCCTGCACGCCCTCCACTGGGAATCGGGCCCACAAATTGGGCATGTGCCCTGACTGGGAATTGAACCAGCAACCTCCTGGTGCATGGGGCGACGCTCCACCACTAAGCCACACCAGCCAGACTAGTGTATTTTTTTTTTAAATAAGTTTGTTGAAGTATACAGTCAGCGACTTAAATTTTGTTTTTCTTCCTGGAATACTGGCCACACTTCATCAAAATAAAAACCACTACTCATGACATACATTAGCTCTTGTTTATCTAAACTTGAAGAATGATGTTAGCTATAAACAAATAGTACTTAATACCTGAACACTGTTGTGTTTCTTATCATAAGAGCAGTTTGAGTAGGAAGAATAGTTGGTAAAATGCAGCCTTCCAAAATTAGTAAGTTCCATGCTGGTTTCCTAGCTATTCGTATGTTCATTTTTAAAGAATGTGTTAGTCTTTTCTTAGTAATGGAGAGCAGCGCAAATTGCTAATGGACTTCAGCGTTCGTGTAGCCTGGGCCCCGTTTTGTAGATAAATAAAGCAAGGCACAGAGAAGTTTCAGCAGCCTGCTCAATGGCTTCATACTAACTAACCAGGAATAGCACCCATGTCTCCTGACTCCCAGTCCAATGATTTCATGTCCATTCTCCAATGCCATGTTTCCTCTTGTCAGTTTAGGAATACTTCTAATTTCTGTCTCTGAACCACTCATGTAGCTGAAACACTTGCTTTGTCTTGTCTGCCCCACATGCTCTGGCATGTCGCTATTTCATGTTCATTTCTATTGCAGTCATGTTAGTAGAGCCAACAGTTTGTAATTATTCATAATCCTTTTTTAAATTTTTATTAGAAAGCTGGGGCCTTGGAAGGTGTGCCAATATCTGGGGTAAGTTTCACCACTTAACATCTCCCTGCTACCTCCCTACCCTCACCCCTTCCATGTTAAGGCTTTACTTTTATATCTTAATCAATCTGCCCCTTCCTAAACTGTGAGGAAGAAGTCAGAGCAGCAAAATCAGCTCCTTCTTGTTCTCGTGTGGATTGAGACTCTTTGGAAGAAATCAATTCTTACACTCCCTTCCCATACCTGTAGTCTCATAGGGGTATTAACAAATAAGACAATGGCCAAATGGAGGCAATGCCGAAAACATAAATCAATTCATTCCTTGGTAAATAAAAAAGGAAACATAAATCCTATGGCTCCTCTAAAAAGGAAATTAATAATATTGTCTTACATGTTCTTTATTGTCATTTACACTTTCAGTGTTTGGGGGACCAGTCTGCTGCACTGGTGGGACAAATGTGTTTCCGAGATGGACAAGCCAAAAATACGTGAGTTTAAGAAACAGACCTAAAAATGAATGGTGTTTTGTTTATCGCTTTGGTGCTTTGAATGAGGAAAAGCTTTTAAAGTTCATCCAGGCTGCAAATCAATAGGTTAAGAGTTCCAATAGGAATATATACATTTGTTTGCCTTTTGTTTTTCTTGATCTCCTTCAAATAAAATGCACTGTGCCATATGTAAACACGTTGATGAGGCTTGTGAAGACCTTAATTTATGAAATCCAATACCTTTTCCAATCTACAAACTACATTTGGTTTACAGTACTCATGCCTTTTTAGGGAAATTAGCAGGGAGGACTGAGCAGAGGGGAGGAAGAGCCATGTTTTTAAACTATAATTTTTGCCCTGGCCAGTTTGACTCAGAGGTTAAAGCGTTGGCCCACGGACCGGAGAGTCCTGGGTTCGGTTCCTGCTAAGGGCATGTACCTCTGTTGGAGTTTGTCCCTAGCCCCAGTTGGGGTCATGTGGGTGGCAGCCAGTCAATGTGTCTCTCTCACGTCAATGCTTCTCTCTCTCTCTTCCTCCCTCTCTCCCTCCCACTCTATGTAAAAATAAATGCAAAAATGTCCTCAGGTGAGGATAAAAAAATAAAAAATAAATAAACTACAATATTGTTCCTGCCCTAGACTTTCTCACTATAACTAGAAAGTCATATTTTTGTGGAATTTTCAATGCTATTCTCCTGGTGCTGCATTCTCTCCATTATTTGGAGTTTCCCCTTTGACAAGAAGCAGAAGGAATGATAGAAGTAGAGATTTGGTGTACTTCCCTTCTAATCTCATCTTCTTAGTACTCACACACATGGAGTCTAACAAGCCCTACATCTAAGAGTAATAAGATTACTCCCAGTTTAGGATGAGAAAACAGATACTCAGAGAGGTTCAGCCATTAAGTGACAGAAGCAATCTCTGTACCCAGACCCATCTAATTTGACTTAGCCAAGCTCTTACTCTCTACATTTTACTGTCCCCGGTGTGGTAAAGATTTCCATAGGCCTGCCAAGAGACTATCTATATTTAATTGTTCTTTTCTTGAGAATTTTCTAAATTTCTCGTCAGTGTTTAACTTCAGTGAGCAAGTTCTTCTTTTGTGACTAATGGAATGTCTAACATTTTTTTTAAAACATTTTAGATTAAATGTTCTTGTAGTCTAGCAAGGTCAGCAGTCCTCATTGCAAGAGTGTGAGAGTTTGGGGACGGAGGGTTTGAGATAATGAAAATTCTTTGCAGGTCATGGTATCCTGAGGTTGCCATGAACAGGAGAGCTTGAGTCAGTGCGGATCTGGAGATATATCCTTTGAATTCTAGATTTCAGGCAGTGGAATAAGACAAATGATAGAAAACTAGGCTCTCCATATATATATATATATATTTAAATCTCTGGCTTTCTTAATTTTTTTTTTTTTATTGATTTTGGAGAGAGAGGAAGTGAGAGGGAGAGAGAGATAGAAACATCAATGAGAGAGAACATCAATTGGCTGCCTCCTACACGCCCCCCACTGGGGATCGTACCCGCAGCCTGGGCATGTGTCCTGACCGGGAATCAAACCAGCAACCTCTTGGTGCATGGGTCGATACTCAACCACTGAGTCACACCGGCTGGGCAGAATTCAGTTGCATCTTGCGCATAGACACCTTCAATTTTAAGAAGAGCAATGTATTTCCTCTGGTTCCGGAGACTCTGCTTATACCCAGAAAAAAATGGCCTTTGACCACAGCCTTCCACATATATTTGTCCTCATAGAAGTCCTGTTTCCAGCAGCCTTCACCGGCTCCAAGATAGAGGAAGGAGCCTAAGGACTTTTTCTTGATAGACTATGGGATACTTCTGAAGGTTTGTGAGCTGGTGTCCAGAGATGACTGGAACAGTTTGTTTAACAATATGGCAGTCCTAGGTCAAAGTGAGGAGAGACTAGAGGCAAAGAGGCCATGGAAGAAGCCACTCATAACAGTGTATTCATAACAGGAGCAAGAACTAAGATGGATGGGGATAGACAGGAAGGCTGCATATTCATGGCACATCAGAAGGACAAGATACATGAAGCAGGTGTGGAGTCTAGTCACCTGCACCTGGTACTTGGCTTAGCCAAAATAAGGAAAGGGTCCAAGTAGAAGAATTTCTGTTTGGGAAATGTGTGCGATACTGGTATGCTATATGTTGCACATATTTTGAAATGTGGAATGAGTTTAACATAAAAGTAGAGATTTTGAATTGCCCCTCTTTAGAGGTGATTTTTTTAAAGCAATGGGAATAGATGAAATTACCAAGAAAAAAGTGTACAAGTAGAGGAGATATTTAGGAGAAGTTAGAGACACAGACATGAAGACTTCAAAAAATAGAATGTAGTTATTTATTCATGTGGAAATCCAGGGTAGAGATTTTTTAAATCCTCCCCTGAGGATATGTTTTTATTGGTTTGAGAGAGAGATTGATTGATTGCCTCCAGCATGCATCCTGATTGGGGATTAAACCTGCAAGCCAGGTATGTGCCCTGACCAGGAATTAAACCTGCAATCTTTTTTGGTTGGGCGATGCTCCAACCAACTTAGCTATCCGGCCAGGGCAGGGTGGAGATATTTAAGAGGGAGGCTTGGTCAGCAGTGAAAAAGACCACAAAAAGGTCTTGGAGGCTGAGAATGAGAACAGACCATTGTACATAGAAATTAGGTCTTCAGTGGGCCCTCCAAGAATGAAGCTTGACTAGAATGCTCGAGATGGAAACCAGGTTGCAAATGGTTAAATGCTTTTTGTGGATAGGTTAAAAAACAAATACAGACAGCAAGACAGAATGTGCTTTGTAAAAATGCAACCATCCAGGAATGGTGAGTAAAGTGAGTAGTTTGTTAGGATAACAGGATCATACCAAGTTTGGAGGTTTTTGTTTGTGTTTTTAGTCACTGCAAGACCAGAGAATGTTTCCTCGGAGTCTGAGCAGAGAACAGATGGAGGTTGTAAAATAAACGAGAGATAAGTGATGAGCAGAAGAAACTCCTGAGAGATTGAAACTGAGAATTTAGTTAATCTCTCTGAAACTCAACAGGGAGCCAATGTCATTCAGCTCAGAATTCAGTGGAAAGCCCCATCTCTGTTTATGGGTGGAGGAGCAAATTATGGGTGATTCTAATTTTTCTTTTAGTTTATCTGTCTTTTTTTTTTTTTTTTAGAATGAATATGGATTATTTTAACATTAAATTTGCTTTTAAGAAAAAGAACCTAAGATAGATGCCGCCTCTCCCCAGAGGCACTAAGAGTAATAAATGAGGCCTCTTACTTCCTTCACAGATTCAGCCAGGGCCATTCTCCCCTCCCCCACTGTGCACCATCTTTGACACACTTCTCCGAGAAGGATAGTTAGCAACCTTTACCTTCGCAGAGATCTGCAAAGTCAGACATCTTTTTATTATTGAGCACAGGGCAATCTTGAGGAAGGATAGACAGATATGAATGTTGAAAGTGCCCTATCTGTTGGATGACTGGGAAGAAAGAATAGTAAAATTTAAGAGGAAACTAATTGTCCATGTACTGCTTTGAAAGCTGTGGCCTCCGCGTAGCAAGGGAGTCGCTTCATACATTGCTAATGCTCATTAATTACTTATTAAGTATACTAACTTAAGGATTCACTTTTACTGAGTGCCTTGAGTCTTGGCATCAATTTTGTACTTTGAGACTTATACACCAGCGTTCATATGAACAATGTTTATAGGAGTAGTAAATTGATACATATTTCTCCTTTTAAAAGTGTGAAACAAACCCTTAACTTCCATTTTTATGAATATTTATTAAAGTATATAACTTCAGCCTGGCCAGTGTGGCTCAGTGGATTGAGCATTATTCCATGGACTGAGAGGTCCCCATTTGATTCCTGTTCAGGGCACATGCCCGGGTTTTGGGCTGGATCCCCACTGGGAGTGCATGCAGGAGGCAGCTGATCGATTATTCTTTCTCACACTGATGTTTCTAGCTCCCTCTCCCTTCCTCTCTCTCTTAAAATAAATCACTTAAAAATGTATAACTTCAAATATATAGCCTTTTTCAGTATTACGAAAGTAAAAAGGTTTAAGTGATTTTGGTCTTTTAACTTGTAAATGTATTATTACCTGTACCTAATGTTACTTGACTGGTGTCTTTAAAAACTTAGATATTCATTAATCCCATATTCCCTGTGGGATAATTCTTATTCAGAACAATGGTACCTGGGAAAATGTTGATTGGAAAAAATTGCCTTCTGTTTATTTGCTCCACAAGACAGAGGCAGTGGATGGGGTCTGTTAATATAGCACTGACTGGTAATAGCTTCTGCTGAGGTCCCTCTGCCCACCTCTGGACTGAATGCTGCCTCTTCTCCCACCTGCCAGAATGTCACAGAGCATAACAGCAGGGCCCGTGGGGAGGGAATCCCAAGCTCAGGCAGGACAGCGTGTGGAAAGCCAGGGGTGACAATCACAGCCAACTCGGTTGAAACTGTTTCCCTGTGACCCTCACTGGTATCAGTTTGGGGCTGCTTATCTGCCTGGCACAAGTCACAACTACTCCCGTCCACATGCCAGACTTGTTGCAGAGTCCGAAGCTTATGGTGATAAAGCTGCCACAAAATAAATTCAGTTCTTCCAAGGCAGCCCTGTTGCACTCCAGCCCTCGCTCTCCCAGCACTGTTAGAATGCCCAGTCCTGCTAAGGGAACAGGAAAGCTAGGCCTCAAGTAGCCTTCCCCTCTGTGTCACTTCTGTGCCCATGGTCCAGCTACACTTTCCCACACTCTGGACTTGGTCTTTTCTTTGTGCCAGAGGAGAGTGGCGTTTCTGTTTGTGACTATTCTCATGATAGAGCTCAACTGGCCTGCCCCATTGGTGAAAGGCTCTTAGTCACAGTGCTTCAGTCCACATGGGTGAGGAGCGACGTCACTGTGACTGAAGGCAAAATTGGTTGTAATTCAGTGATATTTTATTAACACAGCTCTGGGCTATACTTGGCTAAGCACTGGATACTGTACCTGCATCTCTCCATAAAATTTGCACTAAGTACATTTATTAATTTTTAGATCTTTATTAATTTTTATTAATTAATACCTAAAGAATTAATCTTTATTATATTTTTGAGAGACAGGAAGGGAACTGGAGAGAGAGCTAGAAACATCGATGAGAGAGACTATCAACTGGCCGCCTCCTGCATGCCCCCCACTGGGGATTTGCCCACAACCTGGGCATGTGCTCTGACCTGGATTAGAACTGGCAACCCCCTGGTGCAGGGGTTGACACTCAACCACTGAGCCACACCGGCCAGGCTAAGTATATTTTCTTCTAGACTGATCTTTAAAACATGATTCCAGAGTGGGGTATGTGATGTTTGTTAGCTTTTGGAACTTTTCTAAAACTTTAATATAATTACTTTTGTTGTACTAAGTTAAGTGTCAGTTTAAATAATTTGTATTATTAATGTTTCCCCACTTACTTTTAATAAAATTGTCATACTGTTTCTTCTTCCCCCAATTATAGGTATGGAACAGGCTGTTTCTTACTATGTAACACAGGCCGTAAGGTGGGTTTTTCAAATCAAAAGATTGGTGAAAGTCTTTAACTTCATATAATAATGCTTGAGCACAATTTGCTGTTAAGTTACTTTTATTTTTATTATTTTTTAAATTTTATTTTATTTTATTTTTTTTATCCTCATCCAAGGACATTTTTTCATTTTTTGTTCAGATAGAGTGGGAGGGAGAGAGAGAAAGAGAGAGAGAGAGAAACATCGATCTGAAAGGGACACATGGAGGTGCTGCCACCTGCATGACCAACCCGGGCCAGGGACAAACTGCAACCGAGTTACATGCCCTTAGTGGGAACCGAACCCGGGTCTCTCTGGACCGCAGGCCGATGTTCTAACCACTGAGCAAAATGGGCCAGGGCCTGTTAAGTTACTTTTAAAATTCAACTCTTATTGTTTTTATCAGTTCTTAGTTAAGAACTCAATGATGACTATCACTAAATTTGAATGGTTCTAGTAAGAACCATTATAGGTTCTTTGAATGTTATATGTTTTTAATTGTGCTGGAGAGATATGTACACTAGGACCTTGTTAGATTCTTTTTTTGGATCCTGTTAGATTCTTAATGCGAATCTAATTTGGAACAAGGGATAAAATTTTTGCACTGTTTAAGTGCCTAATACTGGTAATTTTGGCTAAGATTTATTTTTTAAATTGTTATATTTATTGAATTATTTTGTACCTTGGTTATTGTAGCTTTGACAAACCTCAGAAGAGGTGGATGTGGGGGGAGGGAAGAGATGAACCACAGAACTTTTACGTATGTATGTGTAAACAAGGACATAGACAATAATGCTGGGGGGGTGGGATTGGGTGGAGGGTATTATGGGGGGGGGACATCTGTAACAAAAATAAATTAATTAGTTAATTTTTTTAAAAAAGCTATCTCTTCCTGGCCCATTTTACTCAGTGGTTAGAGCATTGGCCCCCAGACCAAAGGGTCTTGGGTTTGATTCCTGGTCAAGGGCATGTACCTGGGTTGCAGGTTTGTCCCCAGACCTAGTTATGCAGGAGGCAACCAATCTGTGTCTCTCTCACATCGTGTGTTTTTTTATCTCTCTCTTCCCCCCGCCCACTCCTTCCCTTCCACTTGATCTAAAAAATCAATGGAAAAATATCCTCAGGTGAGGACTAACAAACAAACCAAAAAAAAAAAAAATCTTTATTATTTTCCTGACTACTGAAATCTTTTTCTCTTTCCCATAGTGTGTATTTTCTGAACATGGCCTTCTGACCACAGTGGCTTACAAACTTGGCAGAGACAAACCAGTATATTATGCACTAGAAGTAAGTACTTTTCAATCAATATGGATAAAATGACAAACATTCAAAACTAAGAAAATCATAGCATTTTCTAACACCTTTCCTGGTAAATCTTAATTTATAGGACTGAAAACACTTAGTTTTCTTCTTCACATTGGATTGAGTGGAAGAAACTCAGGACTGAGCTGGGAGTCAGGTCTCCCATGAGACCTTGAGTATATTGGTTCCTCAGTCTGTTTACCAGTTAATTGTGGGACCTTAACCACGTTGCTATTATTTAGCTATTATTAAATATAATAAGGCATTGATTTGCTCTAGTATTTCTGTTTTGTATGTTTTTTTGTTTTGTTTTGTTTTTTGTTCAGATAGAGTGGGAGGGAGAGGGAGAGAGAGAAACATCGACATGAGAGAGACACATCGAGTGGTTGCCACCCACACAGCCCAACCAGGGCCGGGGACAAACTGCAACCGAGGTACATGCCCTTAGCGGGAACCGAACCCGGGTCTCTCTGGACTGTAGGCCAATGCTCTAACCACTAAGCAAAACCGGCCAGGGCTGTTTTGTATGTTTTTATTGATTTTTTTTTAGGAGAGAGAAGCATCGATGTGAGAGAGAAATGTTGATTGGCTGCCTCCTGCACACCCCTTACTAGGGATCGAGCCTGCAACCCAGGCATGTGCCCTGACCGGGAATCGGGAATCGAACCAGGACCTCTCAATCCATAGGCCAATGCCCAATCCACTGTGCCACACCAACCAGGCTCTAATATTTCTTTTAGCTTGAAAATTCTATGTTTATGACTACAGTGCCACAATGTTCCAAAGAGAAACACTGGGCACAAAAAGGCAGAGCAGCTCTCTTTACATGTCTCTCCATAAAAATAGTTTGTATCACACTTTGATCTGGGAAATGAAGTAAGAATATTTATGCCATTTTTCACTGAAAGCATTTGTTTCAAAACATGTCTGTAAATTCTAGTAGGAATATGTCAGCCTAAGCCTATAGGACATGATAAGTTTGTATTATAAACCATAGAAACATTTATTTTAGAAGTCAAAGAAGCAGTACTCTGTAAAATCAGATACATTTCTTAAAAGCATTTCTTTACAATTAATTTTAAATGGCTCCCTTGTAATCTACAAATATCATATATGATCTGAAAACTTATTGAGTCTTGTTTCCCGCAGTATCTAGTAATACTTTGCTTTTAGTTAAAACATATTACTAGCTTTTAAGCCTAGAGCATAAAGAATTGTAGTTTATTTCAGTTATTTCTTACCCTCTCCCTATAAACACTGTAGCCTCTGCTCTAACCCCTTATCTATGGATAATAGGAGCATTTGTGAACTACTTAGTCTGTGTATTAAAGGTATCCCAATACTTCTCAGAACTTAAACTCTTATAAGCCCTCTTTCCCTCTGTTTCCCGCCATGGAAAGTCCTTAGTACAGCACTAGGCACATCGAATATGTGGTACCTATAACAATAATAGTAAGTTGCTCTCTTTTTTCCTTATATGGGAGATAACCAGGCATTTAGAAGTATAGATGCCTTAGATATGGAAAGGGTCTGAGGGATACAGATTACCTGGCCTTAACTTCCATCCAAATATGAAAAGCCTTCTCTTCTAGCCTTCGTTCATATCTTTTCAACTTCTGTTTGAAGATAGCACCAGAAACTGCTTCTTGCCCAGCCAGTGTGGCTCAGTGGTTGAGCATCAACCCATGCACCAGGAGGTTGCTGGTTCGATTCCTGGTCAGGGCACATGCCCAGGTTGTGGGCCGATCTCCAGTGGGGGACATGCAGGAGGCGGCCAATCAATGTTCTCGCTCCTCGATGTTTTTATCTCTCCTTCCCTCTCCCTTCCTGTGTCTCTAAAAATCAATAAAGGAAAAAAAACTACTTCTTACTAACCATCAGACCTAGATTGGCATTCAAATACTAGGAGGCAGCTATCAGTTTTTCTGGGTCTTCCTACTCTAGGATAAACTTCTGTGTGCCCTCATGTCACATGGTTTCTAAACGCTTTTTAGTTCTGGGTTGCCTTCATTACATGCATTCCAATTTGCCAGTGTCTTCCAGAGCAGAATAGAATATTCCATATACAACCCGACCTGTACTGAATAGAGTGATTTGGGCATCTCTGACCATAAATTCTGCTTTGACTGCTCTGGCCTGAGTTCATTCATTTAGTCTGATAACCTCATCATAGCATGGGCTCCAAAAGCACATGGTAAAATATCTGTCACTTTTCCAAATGAATCATAGTCAAGCCAAGTCTCTTCCATTCTGTATTTGCACAGGGCTTTTTTTACTCGAAATTTGGGTCTTTGTTTCTTCCTGTTAAATTTCATGCCAACACAGACTGAATTGTTTTTCACTCTATTCTGTTACTCTTCCAGTTTCGTCTCATATGGAGACTTAACAAGCGTATGCTTTCTGTTTTTGTTTCATTTCGTGTGACTTTGTTTAGATTCATAAAAATTTAAAGCTGAGAGGGACAGTAGATTAGATGACAACAGATTTTGCTACACCCTGCTCTCCCCGAGTTTTACACTTGAGGAATCTAAGAGTAGACAAATGAAATTGGAGTCACTTGGCCTTTTTGACAGCTAGTAAGTAGTTGATCCAGGAGGCAACTATCCAGGTTATTGGGCTTCAACATCTGCATGCCTACCTAGGCCTTCTCTTTCCTTCTAAATCTGGATATTCAGGATTCCAGTCTCCCAAATCCAGTATTTTTTGTTTGTTTGCTTGCTTTTCAATTTTTTAATTATTGAGAGAGGAAGGGGAAGAGAGAGAGGAAAGGCGGAGAGAGAGAGAGAGACATCGATTTGTTGTTCCACTTATTTATGCATTGGTTGCTTTTTTTAAAAAAAATTATCCCCTTTATTGATGTTAGAGAGAGAGAAGGAGGGAGCAAGAGATAGAAACATCAATGAGAGGGAACATGGACTGGCCGCCTCCTGCATGCCCCCCTCTGGGGATCAGGCCCACAACCTAGGCATGTGCCCTGACTGGGAATCCAACCAATGACCTCTTGGTGCATGGGTCAATGCTCAGCCATTGAGCCACACCAGCCAGGCAATGCATTCACTGGTTGCTTCTTATATGTGCCCTGATGGGAGATTGAACCCCCAACCTTGGCATATTGGAATGATGCTCTAACCAACTGAGCTACCCAGCCAGGGCCCAAGTCCAGTGTTCTTTTCAGTGTATCACACATGTCACTTCCTTAGTCTGCTAATTTAGCAACTCAGCCATACACACACCAAACACACACACACACACACATTAGCAATAGTATAAGATTTTTTTCCTTTTGCATATTTTTCTAGTTTTTAAACATTAACAAACATTTTAAAAAATTAAACCAAAGCAAGAAAAGAAGGCAGGGAATAAAGCTAGATTGTTAAAACTTTTTCTCAGTAAATTCATGCTAATTGCACTTGGTCACACTGCCTTCTTTTTTCTGTAAGTGTTTACAAAGCATCTATTCAATATTCATTTCTTTTTTGTTTGTTTGTTTTTTGTTTTTTAAACCTCATCCGAGGACATTCTTGCATTTATCTTCAAATAGAGCGGGGCGGGAGGGAGAGAGAAGGAAGAGAGAGAGAGAAACATTGACATGAGAGAGACACGAGTGGCTGCCACTCACACGACCCCAACCAGGACAAGAGGACAAACTGCAACCGAGGTACGTGCCCTTAGTGGAAACTGAACCCGGGACTCTATGGTCCGCAGGCCGACACTCTGACCGCTGAGCCAAATCGACCAGGGCTCATTTCTTTTTTAATATGTTTTTATTTATTTTTTATAGAGTGAGGGGAAGGGGGAGAGAGAGAGAGAGAGAAACACCAATGTGAAAGACAAGCATCAATCGGCTGCCTCTTGTACGCCCCCTGTTGGGGATCAAGCCTGCAACCGGGGCATGTGCCCTGACCAGAATTGAACCAAGACCTCTCAGTCCATGGGACAACACTCAATCCACTGAGCCACACAGGCTGGGCTCCTTACTTTTCTTTACAGTACTAACTATAAAGTGTGCTAACTACTTAAATCTGTAATGCTAAGCACTCGAGTTGTTAAAAATAGCTATTGTTTCATTCTTTTTTATTACCATATGAAAATACCCCCAACAATGTATGGGAACATTAATTTACTCATCATCTCTCTCTATTCTACAGTTTACCAGATCTATTACATTTTTTTTTTATTTCACTCAGTAATTTCATTTCTAGGCTTTTTAAATGTTTACTTTTATTTCTCTTTTAATTCCAAATTTCATGATTTTTAAAAAAAAAAAAAAATGGAAATCATGCCTTAATTTATCTCTGATTACTTTTAGCACATGCTTTTATTTTAAAGTCTTTCTCAGACTGGAGTGAATTCTGTTCCAGCTGTTAAGTTTTGTTGGCTAATGTGTTAATAATAGATTTTTTCTTGTATTTTGGAATTTTCACTTCCTGTCTCTTCTTCCATTAAGCAGCAGTCTTAGGCAACAAGCAGACATTGCTTGTTTGCAAGCATCCCTACACTGGTAGGAGAGCGCCACCTAGCCTCTGGCTTCAAGCACTGAAGCTGATTCTGTTCTTTGTCTTATACAAAACATTTTGGAGGAGCCAGTTTTCCGCCACCACTCCTGCTCCCTGAGACATACAAGGAAATGAATCAGAACCCATCATGCTGTAGCTTCCAGTCCTCCTCGGTCATGCATTTCTGTTTCTGTCCATATCAACACTATCCTGTATTTGAGTTATTTCAGCATGTGTTATTTCAGTTTTCTCTTTTTATATTTAACCTGAAGTTCTCTGTGTTTAAAACAGAGAGAATCTTGAAAGTGCAAACTCTCCATCTCTGTTGATGTGAACATCTACTTCTTTTTCATCATCAAGAGAAATCTTTTATTCTCTCCCTATCCCCTGGCATGTGATTCATCTAGGCCTGACATGGTAACATCTCTAGGTTCCCGTTTTAATTCTCAAAGGAACGAAAAGGAATTGGGTCACATGATCCTCCACTTG